AGTTGAGTGCATGAATTGTTCAACATTCCACACTTCGTTTTTAACTATAAGGTTATATATGCTAATTTGTTGCTAAACATTGACAAAATTCACTGCAGCAGATGTACACATTTAAAGTTGAAAATATTTATTCTAATTCAATCAGATGGTCTTTAGCACAGTGCTTCCCAACCTTTTGGACTCGAAGGCTCTCTTTTGTTCAAGACAATATTCAAAGGCCCTCGTATCTAAGCTGATATCTCCTGTATAAACTAAATAAAATTAAATAAAATTAAAAAAATGTGAATATGTCAATTTAATGTTGTACCTATTTTTTTATTTGTGTGTTTTAACATTTTAATAAAGATTATATTAACATAACTACTTACTGGGGCCCCCCGGGAGATGCCCCCTAGTGGAGAACCATTGCTCTACCTACCCTTGGAACAAATCATGATTCACAACTCTGATATAATGGCAGCCTCTTGGCTGTTTAGAAAAATAGGACAAGCCATTTGATATGTCCCACCCAAATGTTTTGATATGAAACAGAATCAAAGATCTCATGGGGTTTATATGTATATATTTCATGATATCAGCCATTGACCACCTTGATATCAGTGCCAGCTATTGAAAAACTTTGTTAAAATGTATAGCACAGCACAGCTATATATGATTCAAACTTGTAATTCAAAACGGTTATGCTTTGTAAAGGTGTATGCATCCATTATGACTTGCATAACTGGAATCATAAATGCTCATTTCTGTGTGTGAGATTCCTAACATACCTGCTTTTTGTTGTCCAGACCAGATCCTCTTCTTCAGATCAGCACAGTTATAGATGAGCTGGGCAAAGCCTCCTCTAAGGTGATAATGACTGTCTTTTTGAGCTTGCAGATGTCATTCACTGTCAGTTTCAGCCTGTCATCATGTCATGTGTGTGTGTATCTCCTCAGGCTCAGCAGCTGCCTGCTCCTATAACCAGTGCTGCAAAGCTCCAGGCCAACAGACACCATCTCTACCTCCTGAAAGATGGAGAACAGAACGGGTTCTCTCGCTTTCTCTATCCCTCCCCCAGCCCATTTAATCTATTTACATGTCAATACAGCTGACCTCTCTCCTTCCTGTTTTTCCATTTCCATTGCATATAAACACATCCTCATCTGCTGTTAATAACAGTCTTTGACTCCCTCTTCCTGTCTTTTGCTTTACCAGCAGGAGGGGTGTTATCGTTGGATTTCTGAAGGTTGGCTACAAGAAGCTGTTTTTACTTGTAAGTGTTTGCTCATTATTGAGTTGGTAAATTCAGTCTTTTTAAACTTGATACATTAGTGATTTACAGTATGTTGTAATTGCATCCAGGACCAACGGGGGGCGCATTTGGAAACCGAGCCTTTATGTGTACTGGATTTCTATGTGACAGAGACACTGCAGAGACATGGCTATGGGCTCGAGCTCTTTGACTTCATGCTGAAAGTGAGTGTCTGTCAGCAGCCTGATTTAGTTTGCAGGAAAATCCTGTCATTTATTTACCCTCATTTTAGTCCAAACCATGTGACTTTCTTGCGTGCATGGAACGCAAAAGGAGATGTTTCAAAGAATGTTCATGCTGCTCTTTTCCGTACAACAAAAACACAAAAGGACAAGGTCAATATAATTCATTCACTTTATTCCAAGTCTGAAGGACAAACTGAAATGTAATTCTTTATTCCCAAATCATTTTCCCCTTCATCGTAGCTTTTAAAACTTATTTGCAAGTGCACATATTCAGACTTGCCCCTTCAAGACCAGGTTTGACGTTAACAATGCTAAACAGCATTGGTTTTATGCGTTTCAACCTTGCTGAATGCTACACGGCAAGGTTGAATTTGCAGAAGTGAAACTACGTTTTGCGCAGTAACATTTTTGTTAAAATACTTGCATTTTATTCAGATTTCTATTGAATAACTTAAATTTAAAACGTGAATATCGTATATATTTTGGTGTATTTCTCAGACAAAGCTGTCATACACATAGAATATAGCGCATTAGTTGTATGGACTGTGTTTATGCTGTTTTTGAAGCTTGTGTGGAAAAGAGCAGCATGAACATTTTTCCAAATATCTATTTTTGTGATTTCTGGTGAAAAAAGACAAAAATTAAAAGTGACACAGGTTGGGAAAAACATGAGAGTGCGTAAACTATGACAGAATTTTCATCTTTGGGTAAGCTATTCTTTTTTATTATTATGTCCAGTAGAAAAGTATAAAGACCCATTTGTATTTGCTACTAAACAGTCCTGTTTGTATTTTGTGACTCATGTTTTCCTGTCCTGATCATATTCTCTGATTGAGCAGCACAAACGGGTGGAGCCTGAACAGATGGCGTACGATAGACCTTCTCCTAAATTCCTGTCATTTCTAGAAAAGCACTATGATCTCAAGAACAGTGTGCCTCAGGTATGATCCACCTTTTAAAGTGAAAGCACTGCATGGCGCGAAACAATCTCAGCCAATCAGAGCATGTTTGTGGAGTGAGATTTTGGACCAGTGAGATTTTAATTTCTTTACAGAAAATTGCGTCACACCTGGTTAGGAGAACACAATGTTATCCAGTTTGTAATTGAAACAAACCAGATTACAGTACTTGATGAAAACGACTTCATCAGATACCATAATAACATGTTATACCTTGGATGTAAATCCTGATATGGAGTATGTGCATGACGTGTGAGCGTGTTTATTTGTACACAATACAGACTTTATACAATAGTGTTTTCCTCGAACAGTTAGGTGTGTATATGACCGTTGCAAAACTTGATTGTTATGATGTAATTCGTTCATTTCTTGTCCTGTCACACTTGTTCTTCTCAGGTGAATAACTTTGTGGTGTTCAGTGGATTCTTCCAGAGTAGATCAGGTAATGCCTGACTGCATCACTGTTCTTCTGTGCTCTTATGTGGGTTTGGAATGTTGTTCTGGATCTGTGCCAGTGTTCAATGCCTTATTCTCTCAGGACAACAACCTCCCATTCTCCTCATTATAGTGCGTGCGAGGCAGCACTGTATTGAAATTCCTCCTCTTTTTATTCTTCTTTTCTTCCTCATATTTCTGCAAGTAATTCAGCTCGAACCACTTTACATACAGTCCATTCAAGCTACACCTGACAGTGACAAGGAAATACCTGCCATACATATTTCTTTTGGCTATACAACTGTATTTTTCATTATTTTAATCCTTGCTGTTATTGTTAAAAAATATTCAAAATCATTTTCATTAATTGAAATCAAATATAAATATTAGATGAAAAACGTAAAAGTTTAAGTAAGTTTTAAAGTACAGAATTAAAACTAAAATAAAATTACATGTAAAAATAATAATAATAAAAATATTAATTCATAAATCATAAAATAGAATATAAAAAACTAATAAAATGTCAAAAGTACAAAAAATGACTAAATCTTCAAACTTAAACTAAATTATAAAATATAAGCTAAAATATTAATTATGCTATAATAGAGTACAATAATACTAAAAAGAAGTAATTAAAATATTCCCTGCATATTGGTGACAAACACTGTAGTTGTACAACTAGTCTAAGTCTCTCTGTAAAACTGCAACTGTCACAAAAATATCATAGCATAGTTATTATTATTTTTCTTTCATCTTAATGGCTTTGGTTTGACATAAAAACATTTTTTCTTTTTTCAGAGAGTTGATAAGGATCACAAGTTCACTTGCATAACTCAGGGACCAGGGTTAGGCTATTTTTCTTACAATTAAACTAGCATGTCATGTTCCAAATAGAGTTATCAGACAACTGGTGAGTAACTTTAGACTGAAATTTAATGCAGAAAAAAAAGCTTGAGGTTTCTCTAAATTTTTTTTAACAATATTCTTTTGCTGCCTTGCAAATAAATTGCATTTTAGCAGATTCCACAATTAATTGAAGAAAAATCTGTCTTTGTTGTGCTTGTCCATAATGCTCACAGCTGTCTTTTTTGGTTATTTTATTGTTTAAATTTTGTAGTGCTTCTATATTCAAACAAGTGTATTTCCTGATCTAAACCATCATCATATTATAATTTCATATTATAATCTTTGTGCCTGGCAAAACATTTTTAGTATGTTTATTTATGTGTATATATATATATATGACTCACCAAGCCCAGATCTGGGCTGTTTATAGTTGGTAGCTGCCCTAGACTGAGTTTAACTTGCAAACAACTCAAAACACCTATTGTTCAAGTGCTTTTGTCTCATGAAATCCACCCAGGAATACCTCCCTCCCCTTCGACGGATCAGGGGATGTACGGATTTTTGTAAGGACATTGAATATCTATTGTTCCCCTATCCCACCGTCACCCGGCTTCTACCTTACTTATCACTCCTTTGTTGCATATTCATGGTTTAGGAGAGAGTCCACTCACTATAGACTCTTCCTTTGCACTCATAACCTCTGCCCACATCAATCAGTCCCAACAACTCGCTTACGAACTCACTTCCTTATTAGATCCCTTGCTGTTCCCCTTTAAAATCCAATTATAGATAAGTGCTATATGTTTTCCCCAAAGTGCAGTGGAATGATAATCGATATATGCATTATGGCCATGGATATCTATGGATATGGATATGTGTGAAGAGTGCAGTGTGCTGTTTGCTGTACTCCCAACAGCTTATTCTCAATCATACCAGTTGTTTCTTTTGGCTCTTTCTGACCATTACAGCGGTCCAGTTGAGAAAAGTTCCCCCAAAAAAGCCAGAGGGAGAGATCAAACCGTATTCACTAATGGAAAGAGAAGGTGGGTTACTCGTAGTCTCCGTGTCGTATATTTAACCAATTGGCACAATACAGACCCTAGTAGCTGACATTTACACCAGCTAGCTGTCAGCTGAATACTGACATCATCCAGCCGCTGTAATAAATAGTTTCAGCTGGAAACAGGCCTCCCATTATTCATTAAATGTCTTGATTTGGTCCATCAGTTACTTTAGAGCTCTTAGGAAAGAGCTTTTTTCAGTGATCACAGGCATTTTGCAAGGAACAAGTACTCTCACTCCTAGTTTAGACATATTAGGGTTGTAACCTGGGGACTGTGAGTATCTTAATCCATGTATCAGTCCAGTCAAGTATACAGGTGTCAAGGTGGAACAAAAAAAATCTGTTCTTATTCAGAGCTGGTGTTATTCTTTAAAACACAGGAATGGAATGACATTTTAACGGTTCATGTGGAAGCGGACAAAATGTTGTTCCAAATTATGCTCTACTTTTCAGTATTCACTATTAAAGCTACAGTGTGCAACGGACTACATAAGACTAGTGTAGTCCGATACTAAACATTCTTATGAGCCAGGTCTTTTTGGTGATTCAAAAGCATATAGGCATAGCCTAAATTGTTTTTTAAAAATGATTCTAAGCAATCAGTACTTTTTAGTAAGTAAAAGCAAAAAATGAAAAAAAAAATCCTGAATGAATGACTCTTATTAGTCCGTTCTTTTTAGTGATTCAAAACCATATAGGACAACTGGTGTAGTCTAATAAATAATTCTAAAGAATTGATTCTTTTTAGTGAGTTAAAAAACACAATGTAAAACAAACAAAACAATAAACTAGTGTAATCAGATTCCTGAACACATGACTATTATGAGCCAGTTCTTTTTCGTGATTCAAATACAGTACAACCAATGTAGTTTGATTGTCGAACAAATAATTCTGAGTAATTTTTATTGAATTAAAAACATACAGCATAACTAGTGTAGTCTGATTCTTGAATGAATGACTCTTATGAATCAGCAACATACGGTTCAACCAGTGTAATCCGACTCCTGAACGAATAACTCTAGTTACATTTAGCCAATCAAAAACATACAACACAATCAGTATAGTCCGATACCTGAACATATTCTTTTTCGAGATTCAAAAACGTACAACACAAACAGTGTAGTCTGATCGTTGAACAAATTATTCTAATAAGTTCTGTTTAGTGAATTACAAACATACAATGTAACCAGTGTAGTCCAATTGAACATATGAACATACAGCACAACCAGTGTAGTCTGATTTCCGAACTAATGACTTTAATCAAACAGTTCTTTATAGTGAATCAAAAACATACAGCACAATCCGTGAAGTCTGATTCCTGAACAAATGACTGTAATGAGCCAGTAATTTATAGTGAGGCAATGGAATTGCATTTCACTTTTTCACATATCTCTTCCTTAAAAGTACTAAAAGAATCATAAATGGAACTGTTAAGGAATCAGTAAGAGGAGTCACTTCCTCTCTTCCGCAGTGGTTCGGGAGGAGCAGAGGGCTCTCCCCTGGCCGTTCGTTCGCCCCGCGGGTCCCCCCCACTCTCCCCCTCTGCTTCCGTCATCTCCGCAATCCGGTTCGCTCAGTGTGGGATCCTCCCCCAGCCGGGCCCCGCTCCGCCCCACCGCGGCCCCCCGGACCCCCTCCTCCCAGCTCAACGACAGCTGCAGGGCAAAACGCACCAGGTACATCTCAACCACACCTCACGGCCAGTTACAGCATACATGAGTCTAAATCCAGCACTTTGCTTGCAAATATTTACATTGCATCCTCTTCGCTTTTTCCATCTGGGACTTATTTTGGCGACTGAGAGCATTTGCTCTGTGGGAATGAATGCGAAGAGACACTAAGGTTGTTCATGTTCACTATGAGCCACTTCCTGTGTTAGATAAGTGCATGGTTGGCTTGGCGGCAGGAATGTGAATTCAGCTCATTAGTGTATCACTGTGTACCGCATAAAGGTCAGATACGCGGCCTGTTTATTCTTCTAACATGTAAGCGGCCTTGATCACTTTATTTTGGAGAAGCGCTAAACATTTCTCCTCCTCTCCTCTCTCTTTCTTCTTCTCCTCCTTTCATCTCTGATTATGACATGCTCGTTTTATGCATTGACTTCCCCAATTATGACACGCTCATTTTGTTGTCGAACCCCTCATTTTATTCGATGAGTTTCAACTTTTGTTTCCTTTTAACCACATGCTTTCTCTCTTTTACTCATTCACTCATTCCACGCTAGCTCTCTAAATAGATCTAGGCTCAGCTTTCATTGACCCTCAGTCTTTAACGTCATTGTCTTAAACTTCGTAGCTAGTTCAAATTAAAGGAGTAGTTCACCCAGAATTGAAAATTTGCTGAAAGTTTACTCAGCCTCAGGTCATCCAAGATGTAGATGAGTTTGTTTTGGATCCAATGGATCTTCTGCAGTGAATGGGTGCCGTCAGATTGAGAGTCCAAACAGCTGATAAATACATCACTATAATCCACACAACTCCAGTCCATCAATTAACATCTTGTGAAGGGAAACGCTGTGTGTTTGTAAGAAACAAATCCATCAAGATGTTTTTAACTTAAAACTGTTGCATTTGGCTAAAATGCACTAAAGTAGGGGAGACCGGGGGCAGTTGTAACACTCTGACTTTTTGCATTTAATTTAATGTAATATTATAGTCTTGTCCTTATTAGTGACAATATATCAATTGTATTATTAATTAGTGCACCTATATTTGTTTCTTGCATCAAAAGATGACTAGTGTATTTCAAGTAGTATGTGAGTTATGAAGGAAAATGTAAAAAATGTTACAATTGCCCCCGGTCTCCTCTACTCTCGCCATGGTATTTCATAATATCCATGTTTTTTATCAGCTGTTTGGACTCTCATTCTGACGGCACCCATTCACTGCAGAGGATCCAGTGGTGAGCAAGTGATGTAATGCTACATTTCTCCAAATCTGTTCTGATGAAGAAACAAATTCATCTATATCTTAGATGGCCTGAGGGTGAGACATTTTCAGCAAGTTTTCATTGTTAGGTGAACTATTCCTTTGAAAAGATAGTTCATCTAAACATCAAAACTGATGTCATTCTTTACTTACACTTTTGTTATTTTTTCTGTGGAACTCAAAAGAAGAATTTTGAAGAATCTTCAAAAGAATTTTTGTGTTTCACAGTTAAAATAACAGCCTATGAGTGGAAAACAGCTTGACGATAAAGTCATGACAGAATTTTTATTGTTTGACTGAACTAAACCTTTATGATTTTGCTTTCTGCCTTGTGAGTGTATGAACGATCCGATTTCCTGTAAAATGATTTGATAATACACATTTGTAATTATATTGGAATCTCTTTTGGTCTTTTCCGTACCTTTTCCAATAAGAGTGTTTTAGAAGATAGAATAGAGTTTTTACAGGTCAGTTTACTATAGTGTTAACCCTCAACTGTCAAACATCCTCTGTCCTGAGCAGCAAGAAATAAAAGTTACAGTTGGAAAAATTCTAGGTGTTCTTTAATCACTTGTCAATGAATTCATTTGTCATATAGCAGATTATTGTAACAGACTAAAGGAAATGAGATGTTATGTATTAGAGTCTAGACTTTATTGTCAGGTGCACCTCAAGGACCTTGGTTTTGGTCCAGATTTTTTATCTCGAGAAATACAGAAATATGAGACATTTTCTCTCTTATGCTCACAAAGGTCGAAATTGCAGTAAAAACAGTAATATTGTGAAATACTGTATCATTACAGTTCAAAGTAACTGTTTTATATTTTAATAAATGTTCAAATTTAATTTATTTCTGACGCCAAGCTGAATTTTCAGCATCATTACTCCAGTCTTCAGCGTCACATGATCCTTCAGAAATCATAATAATATGCTGATTTGCTGCTCAAGAAACATTTAATATTCTTATCAGAACGGTTGACAACAGTTGTGTTGCTTAAAATGACTTTTTCTTCCTTCCTTTTTTTTTTTTTTTTTTTAAAAATCTTTCCTTGGTTTTGGTCCAGATTTTTTATCTCGAGAAATACAGAAATATGAGAAATACACACAAACTGTTAAAAAAAAAAATTCTTCATTTTTTTTTTTAAAGAAGTCTCTTATGCTCACAAAGGTCAAAATTGCAGTAAAAACAGTAATATTGTGAAATACTGTATCATTACAGTTCAAAGTAACTGTTTTCTATTTTAATAAATGTTCAAATTTAATTTATTTCTGACGCCAAGCTGAATTTTCAGCATCATTACTCCAGTCTTCAGTGTCACATGATCCTTCAGAAATCATAATAATATGCTGATTTGCTGCTCAAGAAACATTTAATATTCTTATCAGAACGGTTGACAACAGTTGTGTTGCTTAAAATGACTTTTTCTTCCTTCCTTTTTTTTTTTTTTTTTTTAAGAAATCTTTGATGAATAGAAAGTTTAAAAATCAGCATTTATTTGAAATAGAAGTATTTTGTAGCACTATACGTTTACTTGCACTTTTAATCAACATGTTTCCTTGCTGAATAAAATATAATATAGCATCTTGCATTATCTTTACAAGCAAAAATCAAAGAGCATTTTGCAAAAATAGAAGTTTGTATGGTTTAAAATCCTAAAACAATAGATCTCATGTGAAACATGAAGAAGTATCTTCATACTTTCTGGTAGTCAGACATTATACTGTAATTATACTATAATAGATGATGAGCTAAACTCTTCTAGAAACCTGTCTGAACTACATGCGTCCCCTAAAATGCCAATTCTATCAATTTAAAGGTTAAAATACAAAACGGCTCAGAATAAATGGTTCTGAGAAAAGCTTGTGGATCAAGTTGCCTCTTGCTTTGATATTTTAAGACCTAAAATATCAGCCACTACATTTGACTGCAACTCTAATGTAATGTAATAAAAACCAGACATTAAGTTGCAACATTACACCATATTAGTCTTTTCTTGAGATTAAAAATCCACCGTCACGTTACACAATCATTGCCTGTGTCCTCTTTCACTGGAATTTGTTTTCATACAATGTTGGGTTTTGAATTTGCGTTTGAGGTTGAGGTTATGTTTAATTACGTTTTTATTTGTGCCTTTTTTCTGTCACTTTAATTTTTTATTGTTCATTTTCTTTCAATTTTTCATTTATTTCTCCTTTTTCCCTCCCCTCCCCTCCCTTCTTCTCGGCCCTCCGTCCCGTACCTCTATCGCTGTTGTTTGTCCATTTCCTCATATCCTGTAGCCATCAGGGTCTGGTTGCCAGGAGCAACCTCTACAGTCGCCATATCAACAGCCGAGACCTCGGGCAATTATTGGCAGAACAGCAGAACCCCTTGAAGCTTCCAGGTAATGCACCGTTTGAACCGCAATCAACCATCTACCACGGCGCACCGTGAAGCGTTACGATGGGCCACAGGAAACCACATTAGTAAACCATTAGTAGCTGTCGTGTGTGCTTCCTCAGGGCTGAAAGCAGAGCTGAGTGAGAGAGTGTGTGACACAGGGGCAAACGCAGATGCAGTGGAACACAAACACACTTCAGAAAGGTCGGGCTTTTCTCACGTAACCTTTGTGAGAGTCACTTTCACCTGGTGCTGCTTGCTGCATTATTTACATGTGAATTGGAAGCGAATACTGAAGAAAACACCAGGGATTGAGAGCGAGGTAATGACTAGGCCTCCACAGAATCCACGCCTACAGAATTCCACAGAAAGCACTGGCGATTTCTGCTGAATTTGTGTGTTAATGAGGTTCGCTACGCCAAGCATCACTTTTATTATAGCTCATACTGAGGGTTAGGATTTGAGCAAATACTTAACCCAGAGCATGCAAATTTGCTGCATAATTTGCCACATACTGTCATGCTTGTTAATTTTTTTGGAGGACAAAAATTCTGAAGGTCTCTGACCAAGTTTAGTGAAAAAAAGAAGTGTATTTAATTGTATTGAATATGCACTTGTCATGTACGTACATCAGGTCTAGACGTATATTTTTAATGCAATTGTACTTGTAGATAATATTAATGAAATAAAAGGCCGCTTAAATGCATTTAAAGAGACACTTACACACAAGTAGACATTTTAAGTTTTACTTTTAAAGTATATTTTATATGATTAATTTTTTTTGTCATGCTTAAAAAAAGACTTATTTTAATGTTGACTAACTAAAGCACGTCAAGTATTTTATAATGTATCTTTTTTTAAATAAATTTAAATTTAGTTTAATAATCAACATTAGATTTAAGGTTAATATATGTACTAAATTGCAATATTATTACAAATATGTAATTACAAATACATAAGTTTCTGTGGAAATGACATTCAAGTATATTTTAGTTTACCATAAATGCTTGTCAGTACATTTGGCGGTACACTTTAACCATATTTCAAAGACATTATGAAATTAGTTGCAAAATGCGTCCTAATTAAGTGGATCAAAAATACACTCACATGGTTGCATTTAATATAATTAATTAAATGTAAACTATAATGCATTTTCATATAATTGCACTTAATATGCAGTCAAGTGTTGAAAAATACTACATTCAGTTTGCACTTAAGTATATTCTTATGTTCATTTTAAGCACTCTTTTTAAGTGCACTTCTTTTCACAAGGGAAAACACTGATGTGAACAGCATTTGGCGGTACACTTTAACCATATTTCAAAGACATTATGAAATTAGTTGTAAAATGCGTCCTAATTAAGTGGATTAAAAATACACTCACATGGTTGCATTTAATATAATTAATTAAATGTAAACTATAATGCATTTTCATATAATAGCACTTAATATGCAGTCAAGTGTTGAAAAATACTACATTCAGTTTGCACTTAAGTATATTCTTATGTTCATTTTAAGCACTCTTTTTAAGTGCACTTCTTTTCACAAGGGAAAACACTGATGTGAACATGGATTTCTTAAGCTTTTATTTATTATTTGCATATTTTTCAATATGTTTTTCAGTTAGCCGAATGAAAAAACAAACAAACATGTAAAAATCTGGTTTATTCAATATTTTGTTTAATATGATAATGCTTTTAGCTGCAGCTAAGAGTCCAGTACTCTCAGATCAGTTTTAACATTTTATTATATCCAAACCATTTTGCATTTTTCTTGTACAATCAGTGCAAAAAAAAAAAAATCACAAAAGTGTGTATGTTCTGTGTGGGCCTAGTTCTGATTCAAAACAGAAAATACAGTATGTGCATGTTACTACTTTATCATTTTCTTTCTTCTTGTTGATACAGGTTTGATTTCATTTGCTGCTTCTCTTCTCAGCCTTGGCCTTGTTCTTAATTCACCTGAAATCATCTGCTTAATGTTCTGCTTCTTCCTCTCCATCTTTAATTGTTTTTCATCTTCTTTTCCAGACCGCATCTTCAAGGCCAGGTTGTGTCTCTTCCGACAATTGCCGTCGCCAAGAAAGATCATGTTCAGGAGCAGACCTCCATAACACCCCAGGACCGCAAAGAAGAGCTGCAGACCAAAGTGTCACAGAACAGAGCAGAGGACTGGAGGAAAGGTGGAGCGGCTGAGATGGAGAGGGACGGAGGGAGAGGCGGATGGTCCTGGACGGTTGGGGAGAGCCGCTGTACGGCCCAGTGGGTCCGACAGAAACAAGAGTATCGCAGCACGCGGCCCTGGTGACGGAAGATGGTAAAGGGATAGTTCACCCAAAAATGAAAATTCTGTTATTAATTACTCATGTCCCTCATGTCGTTCCAAACCTGTAAGACCTTCGTTCATCTTCAGAACACAAATTAAGATATTTTTGATGAAATCTGAGAGCTTTCTGACCCTGCATAGACAGCAACACAACTACCACGTTCAAGGCGCAGAAAGGTAGTAAGGATCTTTAAAATAGTCCATCAGTGCTTCAACCTCAATTTTATGAAGCTATGAGAATAAATAAGGAATTATAACAAAAATAAGGAATTTTCGGACGTAGGACCCGGATGAACTTCGCTTTGTTTACAAGCAGAAGAATGCGTGAACGCACATTGAAGACTGACATGGAAGAGAAGGAATTGTTGAATAAAGTCATTTTTGATGTCTTCGTGCACAAAAAGTATTCTCGTAGCTTCATAAAATTAAGGATGAACCACTGATGTCACATGGACTATTATAACGATGTCCTTGCTACCTTTCTGGGCCTTGATCGTGTTAATTACATTGCTGTCTATGGAGGGTCAGAAAGCTCTTGGATTTCATCAAAAATATCTTAATTTGTGTTCTGAAGATGAACGAAGGTGTTACAGGTTTGGAACGACATGAGGGTGAGTGATTAATGACAGAATTTTCATTTTTGAGTGAACTATCCCTTTAAGAACAGAAATGGACATAGCAAAAAAAGTGAGAATAATGAGGGGGGAAAGGATTTTTAGGAATTTTTATTAAACCACAAAATTGATAAAGACCTTTAATGAAAATAACATCAGCAGCTATTTATAACTTTTTTTTATCAGTCCTATTTATAAACATTTCAGCTATTCATTTTATGGCTTGTGCTTTTATAATCACAATTTTATAATCTGATCTTTTATCATGTTTTTCACAAACAGGTCTATGCAAAAGTACAGACGTTTTTGTGGAAATTAAATTAAATGGTTGAACATTTGTTCTGTTCGATTCATTTTTATCGCTGCTCTCAAACAAACATAAATGCTCCGACTGTCAAACTGATGCTCATTCTTGTACACTGATCACATAATTACATCATTCCCTTAAGGAAATCATTTATATTATACACAAACAAACAGATTAAACCCTTGGAGAGCATTTGACCAAGAACATTAGTGCATGCGGTTCTTAGTAGCATGTCTACAGTAATAATACATGTACCGTCTTCAGTGTGTCAGTCACAGCAGACATCAACAGCCACTAAAATACATACAGCACATCACATCCTCTCATTCTCAAGCTGACATTTTTCACCATGTGCGTTCATCTGGAATATACATTTTAAAAATATTCCCACTCAGATGATCAAGTGGACATTTGTGTGATGTTCTTCAGGTGTTTGTGCACAATAATAATACAGTGCTCTTCAGATCATTTGCTCTTTAACTGAAGTCTTGTAAATGCACGCGTGTTTATGGGATGGTATTAGTGCTGGTGTCAAGCAGGTTCCTGCTCTGTGTCTGCATTTTAAACCTGTCAGCTTGTGACATTTCCCAGCAACACGCTCTACAGAGTGTCACTTAAGTATGTGTGACATTTACTGAATTCTACAGTTACCTAAAAAACAACCAAAAACCCTTTTTAATCACTTTAGTTCATATTATTTAGATATAAAAAGGGCCAAACTCAGTGACAGACCTTTGATTTCCATGTCTTTAGTCACATTTTCTTCAAATGAATGTCGTGTACAGCTTTAATATGCAGTCTGTGATCATAAAATCACAATATGCTAATACACATTTTAAACTCAAACTGGCCGTCTGTCAGGCCTTCGAGGAATTTTTCAACTTTTATTTAAAGTAATTGTGTTCATATTGCTTGTTTAGATAACAGTCTATTTGAATTTTGTCTTGCTGAGAGCTCGAGTTTTTGAATATTTAACTATATTATATAATTATTTATGGGAAAGTAAATTCGAGGAATGAGTCATTAGTGCTGCTTCTTTGTAGTCACAAACAGTTGGAGTCAAAGAATGGTCTGATCCTAATGAGTGCTCCGGCCTTTCACTGAACAGCCCTTTCTTGCCAGACGTGTTTTTCCCTTTGTTGCCTGCCAACATGCCATTTAGTCCAGTGATATAGTTTTAAAACTAGCAACTAAAAATCAAACTTGTAAAATGTTAGCACTTCTTTCCCCATTGCATGACCCTTTAGACCAGGGGTGCCCAACCCTGTTCCTGGAGATCTACCTTCCTGCAGAGATTAGCTCCAACCCTGATCAAACACACCTGAACCAACTAATTAGGGTCTGAAGGAGCACTTGATAATTACAGACAGGTGTGTTTGATCAGGGTTGGAAATGAACTCTGCAGGAAGGTAGATCTCCAGGACCAGGGTTGGGCACCCCTGCTTTAGATGCTACACATTCAAGTTCATGACAATCGCCTCATCCCTGCTCGCCAGTTTCATTTTTTATTTTACTAAAACGTGCTTCAGTAGTTACGGTGATTTTTTTTTTTCATCACAGAGACACGTTTGCCGTCTCCACTGTCCAGGCATGATGTCCATTCAGTTTTTAGGATGACCCTGCTTTTGGACACTCTTGTTTTAATATGAATCCCTCAGTAGCGTGAGGTAGATCTCCGACTGGAGGAAACGGGGGTAACAGTCCATTTCCAGGAGGCAGTAGATGCGCCTTTGAGCATGTGAGAGAGCAGTGTGAGAGGGGGCTTTGAGGAGCTCTAGGGTCAGTTCTCTCGTCTTATTGTCCAGGTTCACCTAAAAGTGTTGGAAAGAAATTCACAGTTCACAAATATTCACACAAGAATGATATACTGAAGGATATTCAAAATGATCTTTGCTTTTTATAACAGAGAGTGGGACAGAGTGTCAAGCTCCCAAAAAGGCAAACAAACAAATTAATTAATATTATATTATTTACATTTAGTCATTTAGGAGATGCTTTTATCCAAAGAGACTTGCAAATGAAGACAATAGAAGCAATTAAAACCAACAAAAGAGCAATAATATGCAAGTGCTATGACAAGTCTCGGTTCTTAACACAGTACATGTAGCAAAGTTTATATATATATATATACACATACAAAACTAAACTAAAACAAGTAGACAGAATAGAAAAAGAATAGAGAAAGCTAGTGTTAGAGGCCTTTTTTAAGAAAACAAGCAGTTAGAAAATGAATAGAGAGAGCAAGTATTAGAGGTCAAGTCAACAAAAAGATTAAACAGAATTAGAATAGAGAGTGCTAGAGTTATAGGGTCAAATAAAGATGGAAGTGATGTGTTTTTAGCCGTTTCTTGAAGATGGCTAGGGACTCAGGATTGAGTTGGGCAGGTCATTCTACCAGGAGGTAGAATATTATATTATAATTATATATTATATAAATATTATTCAAGTCTTTTAAAGTCATATGATAGATTTGTGTGAGGAAATGACCAAAATTTACTTTGCTTTTATAATACGCACCAGGACTATCACCCCCCCCCCAAAAAAAACCAATATTATACCAAAATGCTATATTTTTTAGCTATACATTTTTTTTTTTTAGCTTTAAGTTTTCTCAAGTCATATGATAGAATTGTGTGAGGAATTTACTTTACACTAGGACTATCAAGCTCCAAAAAAAGAAATAAAGAAATACAATGAATTAAAGACATAAAAATAAAATCCATTTTTGTTTTGACTTTTACAATGTTCTATATATACTTTAGACTTCTGAAGTCATATGGCAGATTTGTGCAAGGAAAGGCCCGAAATTTACTTCACTTTTATAATACGCACTGGAACTATCAAGCTCTAAAAACGAAAAGAAAAGAAAAAAGAAAAGAAATTAACTCTTCTTGAATCATATGATAGATCTGTGAGAATTTAAAGGCTAAGTTTGAAATATCTGTGGCATTATTGAAATTTGCAAAAATAATGAAGTTGTCAGATGGACTATTGCTATGGTACATTTATACGTTCAGCAGCCCCAGTCCCCATTTATTTTCATTGCATGAGAAAAAGCAGCTTGGACATTTTGGAGGCAATATTTTTAATGCAGTAAACAAATTTGGATAAATCTACCTCTCTGGGAGCACCGGGCTGGATGTAAGTCTCAGTAATCATTTTTGCCCGTCTCTGCAGGCTGAATTTGTTGGACGACTGACTGTACTGCTCACAGGCCGAGTAGAACTGCAGGTTTTCCTCACTGAACTCAGACCGCAGGAATGCTTCAAAGACTGTGACGCCCACTGAAGAGAAGACAGGTGAGAAGAGAAAGAACCGTAATGAACTTTGGGGGGAAAAACCCGCTATTTCTATTTACAAATGGGGGGTAGAGGCTCAGATGACGCGCTCACATGCATGTTCTGCCATACACCCACACACGTCACATAACACTCGCCACAAAAATCAGCAAAGAAAAAGCTTTGGACAGGGATATCTTGAGGGTTTATCTCACACCACATAAACTTCCTTCCCTCTGATTTTCTCAAAACCCTTAAACTGCAGGTTGCGACACTCTGAAGTGAGAAAAGTCGGACGGGGGCAGGGCTCTGGACTTACAACATACTGCTGTTCCCACATTTCAACCAGTCCAGACACCAAAACACACTCACCACACAGTTCACAAAATCATTCAAATAAGAAATTAAATGCTGTATAACCCACACGGAAAAGTAAAAGAAATAAACAAATAACTAAATAAATCTGGAAATAAATACATGTGGGAATAAATAAATATGAAAATAAACACATAAATAAATAATTAAGCTTAAAAATTTAAGTTTATAGTTACTGATAAATATAATTTCCATAAAATTCAGAATGCGTTTAATTTTTTTAAACAATATTATACAGTTTGAATGGTTGAGTCAATCACAGTCAACACTATAATTTTTGTAATAACTGCAAAAATATAATGAGATTATTTCCCATCATGCTGTAGCAACAACAGACCAAAGGATGTTACATATTGGGTGTCACAATTTTTTTGAAATGTTGCTATGTTGCTTTCAGAAATGTTGTACTATGGAAAATTCATGTAATATCAATTCAATATACTGAATCTTATGGCTTTGGTAAGTTAAAACTAATGTTAATAC